CTCTCTCTCTGTGTCTGTCTGTCTGTCTGTCTGTCTCTCTCTCTCTCTCTCTGTGTGTGTGTGGGGGGGGGGGGGGGAATCAATGAAACAGTCGGCCCCAATCCTTGTTTGCCCGGGGAAGGATCTGTTCACGTTCCTGACAGGCTTTCACCCCTACAATTGCTAGCAGAGTAAAAGGAGGGGAAATCCTGTCCGGGGGAGGGGGGGGATGCACCTTAGGAAAGTCAAAGGAAACTCCGTAGTCGGCGGGACCGGGCAGAAGAGCGGCGTGCGCGCCTTTCTTCCCATCCCCTGGGAAGCGCCGAGCGTCCGTCCGCCAGGTTGAAGAAGCTCGTCTGATTGGGCGCCCTTCTCATTGGCTGCACGGGCAGTGTCAGCGGCCCCCCTTCCTCCCCCCCTCCCGGACACACAAACGCTCACGTTCACACGCTCGGGCCGAGCCCCCCCCCTCCCCTCCTCCTCTTCCCTGGGCTGGGAAGGGCCCTTCCTTTTTTGTCCGGAGCGGAGCCCGTCCGCCGAGCAGAGCTGACTGACTCCGGAGTAGGGAAGCTTGGAAGTTCGCGATGCCCGTGCGGCGCCCGGGACAGGGAGAGGGGGCCCGGCTGGGCAGGTCGCGCCTCTCCCCGCTGGCTTCTGCCCGCTCCTCCCCGCCGCTTTAAGCCGACCCGAGGGGGAGAGCTTGAGCGGCGCAGCGAGCGCTCCTTTCCCACCTGGGATCGGAGCGCTCCGAGACGCCCCTGCGAGGTTCGCCCAGCGACCAGCCGCCAGGGCGGACGGGCTGCCCCGGGCGAGAGCGGACCGTCTCCCGCTCCCAGCTTCCCGCCGCTTTGCCTCCGCTTCCCCGGCTCGCCGCTCCAGTCAGCTCCCAGGTGCTGCCCAGCCTCCGGACTGAGCGAGCCGGCGCGCCGCCTAGCCCTGCCCGCGGCCGCCTTGACATGCTACCCAAAGTGGAGACGGAAGCCCTGGGACTGGTCCGATCGAATGGGGAACGGGGACACATGCCGGAAAACATGCAAGGTAAGGGGCCGGAGGACCGGCGGGCGCCCGGACGGACGGCGGGCCGGCGAGGAAGCTTGGATGTGCCAAGGGGGGGACGAGGACAAGCCGCCTCTTCCTCCTGGGCGCGCTGGGTAGCAATAGCAATAGTTAGACTTATATACCGCTTCATAGGGCTTTCAGCCCTCTCTAAGCGCTTTACAGAGTCAGCATATAGCAATAGCAACAGCAGTTAGACTTATATACCGCTTCATAGGGCTTTCAGCCCTCTCTAAGCGGTTTACAGAGTCAGCATATTGCCCCCAACNAAAAGTTGGGTCACAAATGAGAATGGACGTTTTCCTCCCCCCCAAAGAAAATGTCCATACTAACTAGGAGTGCAGAATTTAAACGCTAAACGGATTCTTTGGTGATCGGAGAGATCTCAGGAGAACCTAGCACAGTTTCGCTTTTAGCTGGTCAATTGGGGTTGTTCTGATGTTGCTTTTGTGTTGTTGCAGCTTATGGGGCAAGCGCGAACATCTTTAAGTTTCACTGGTTTCATTAGAAGCCTCACAGTTTGCTGATCTGGAAGCTATCGAAAGTAAAAACCCGTTTCACTCGGCTATGTTAGCACAACGCCCTGGGACCGAACTCCAACGTTTTCTTAAAACTGAGCCATTAAGAGGTGGATAAGGAGAATGTGGGGACGAAAATCTTTGGGCGCTTTAAGATCACTTTTGCAGGGGCGTAGAAGAATGTCCAAGTTGCGCGTCAGAGTTAGAACCCGAAAGAGATTGTGTGAGTGAGAGAGAGAGACAGGCAGAGGCTGGCTTAGGAGGAGAGAGGGAGAGAGGGAGGAGGGGGGGGTTGCACCGAAGGCAATGTATGCGCTCATTCTCAACCTATAACTGGGCAGTGGTCTCCATGTCTGTAGTTCGGGGTTCGGGGAGGATTCCCTGCCTCAAAGCCCATCACTCTCGGAGCAACGGATACCCGCCTATCTCCCTCGCCCATCTCTCTCTCTCCTCCCACCCACACACCCCGCCTCGCCTCTCTTGGAGATGCGCGGTTCAGGAAAGGATCCCTCCGATCCGGGGGCTGCAGCCCGGCCCTGCGTAGTTTTCTTCCGAACGAAACCGAGTCTCTGAATTCGCGTTCGGGGACGCCTTCCCAGCAAACGCGGATCCGGGCCAGGGCCAGAGGTCCCATCCGCAGCTTTCCTTCTTTCCTCGGGACTTAGTCCTTCCGACAGTTAGGAAAGCAGGGGACCAACTCCTGGGTGCCCCCTCCCTCCCTCTCTCTCTCTCTCCTCTCTCTCTCTCTCTCCCTCTCCCTCTCTCTCCCTCTCTCTCTCTCTCTCCTCCCTCCCTCTCTCTCTCTCTGTCTCTCCCTCCCTCTCTCTGTCTCTCTCCCTACCCCTCTCCCTCTCTCTCCCTCTCTCTCTC